AACTCTAAACTTGTAGAGCATTTTTCGTTTCTAGAAATTTATTTGCGAAAAACAGCAACAGTTTTTCAAATCCTAAGTTTTCTGAACGATTAGTGAAGTTCGAAATTTTGGCGGCATTTAGAGCGCAATCTTCTTTGCTGAAGTTTTTTGTTTCTGAGTTTTTTGTTATAACGCATCGCGTCTCATTGTGCCGCACTTTTAATTACGCTTAGCGTTTAACCCAGCGGCGGATTACAGCTTTACGAGTCACCAAATGGGTGACTGCACCGATGAGTTACTGTGCCGATGCGTTGGGTTGGTTTAAACCCGGAAAACGTGGAAAATTAATTGAGTTACCCATGCCTAGTAGACACGGTCGCGGTCTGCTTCGTTCGACGTACGAAAGTTCTTCAGTAAACGTAGAAAATCGACCTTAATAAATTACCAGGCGAGTTTCGAAGGGCAGACCACTCTGTATCTAAAATAAAGCAGATCAGGTGAAATACTCAGATATGAAATGGATGGAATACTAATGCATCTTTTGTGGAAATGTGGTTTTTGACCACATTGAAATTCACTAAAACGCGTGTGAGTGAAACAATAATAGCGGTTGTTTTGGGATTATTAGGGCGTCGTTTGTATCCCTATCCTAATGTGTAAACAGTGTAAACACTTGAAGCAAACACTCCTCTGAAGATGCTAGTCGTCCAACTGAGTACAACTAAAAAAATATTGCTGACAGTTTGAAATTGGCGAAGCCCAGCTGCTGTTCGGATGTTCGTTCTCATTCGCCATCAAAAGGCCGTTTGATATCGGGATTCATGTGAAGTTAAAGTTGAAACAGCAGGCAATTGAAAATCAGCAAAACACTAAAAGTTTAAAAAAACTAGATCAGCCAGTCAGGAAGACAAAATCTTTGTATTGTCGCATAAAAGTGCACAGTTACATGGGCTTCAATCATCCATTGCCCACAACGTGTAATTTCAACCGCTCCAATAGGAGAAGCGTATGTATGTTGGCCAATGAAAGCGCTGAATTATGGGGTGACCAAGTTTTGAAAAAATCCATTCTGATGGCGAGATCAATTTTCCCCAGTATGGGGGTGAAATCGAGGGTTTGATTAGAGAAGAAATTAGCTGATCTTCAAAATGCATAAGAATTAGTTGATAGAAATTTGGCTTCAGAGTGTCTAGAAGAAATTTGAAGGATTTTTGGCGAACCCCACCCAATATACCTAGATGGGATTTCATTCGTCAGCGTGCGTCAGACGATGTGTCGTGAGCAAATAGAAGGCGACTTGCCATAGCAGAATTTAATTATCCTGGTCTGTGTTGAGCATCAGGCGGCGTTGAGAATAAAGTGTAAACTCTTGTAGCATCAGTTGTCAGTGCTTTACGACAATTAATTTTCACTTAAAAAACCTGCAAATCGAGACGGGAGTTCTTAAAAACAATTACTTTCGTGTCGCTCGTGATTAAAGCCGCTCCTTTCGGTAACTAACCTCTATGGTTTTTATAACTAGTGAAATTTCATCCACAATGAATACCACATATCAAGACAAAATCACCCAAAGTTTGGAAAACAGCAGGTATATTTATAGTCTAGTCTAGTCGAAAATGCCATGTTGGAGTTTGTACTGTTTATTTCAGAGTAGTTCGAGGTGAAAGTTAATTACATTTACCATTTTACACCAGCTTGGATTTTGTTATGCAATTTATATGTGTGTCATGTATATAAACAAAGTATCAATGCACCTTGAGCAAATGTGAATCGTTTGATTGCTAAGTTGTGCCCCATTTCCAGCAGTCAAGTTCACATTCCAAAACATCACCTCAGGAGCACTCCTGAGGCCTCAGACAAAGGGGCTTTCATAACGGAAATTGAGTGAATGCTTAGAATGCTTAGTTCACGTTTTTTTATGTGTGTCACCAGATTTCAGGTGAAAATACCACGCATCAGTCAGCTTTTTTATAGAATACTTTCAGTCTTGTTGATTTTCTATAATTCTCATCAGGGGATATGTTCACATGTTGCAATAGTTGACTCTTGAACGATTTCAACAGCATCGGCATCCTTGTGAGCATTGGTTGTTGATTTATGTATTCTGCTCATTAATGAGGATTCTATGCAAATAACTCTAATCATTCCCACTAGCTGGGTAAAGTGAATTAAACTACATGCAAATTCTTATTATTTACATTCATTTTAGTCCTTTGGACTAGGGATGACACAAACCAGTATTTTTCAGTCACAAGTTCCATGTCTGACTGTTCCAAGTATCTGTGATTTTTTGCACATGTTATTTTGACCTATTACTACTTGTTACCTATTAATACTTGAAAAAAGTTTTAACCTTTTTTTCAAGTATTAAAAATACCTATGATATCAGATAAACTACATTAAAATCCGTTCATTAGTGTACTCAAAAATAAAAAAAGCCGTCGATTTCAGCGTTTTGTTCATTTTCAATAATTAATTTAGTTTTGTTTCAAGAAAATGGTACCATAACTTTTTTTGGTCAGTCAGTAATGAAATTTTCATTTACTGTACGTTGCAGTATAACTCTTTACCAGTAAAATACAACTTCAGAGAAGTCTTTCCGACGTCTCCAGAAAAATGTGTTTAGAATCTGGCAAGAGTCCTTTTTACATAACAAATAGGAATGAACAGAAAGTTATGAATATTTGGAACTAAAATTTAGACCACTTATAAAGTATACAGACACCTTCCAAAAAGTTATAGTGCCAAAACCAAATTTAATTATAAAAAATTTTACTTTCATCTATTTAGTGCTCGGAAAAAATCTAATCTAATCCGACTGCACTAATTGTTCCATTGAAGGATATCCATGCCACTTCCTAGTAATTTTGGTGCGAATCTGCTGGGTCAGCAATAAATTATGACCGAATGCCTTTTGTTCCTTTATGTATGCAAGGGCTGATGTTCAAAAAAAAGTCATAACATTTTTTATGAGTAACGTTTTACCATTTTATCGAAACTTTATTTGAACACAAAATAAGGTGACCAAATTTTTTATCTCCCACTTATTTTCATGCTAATCACTAATTCATCTTATCGCTTAATTGAAAATTGGCAATTTAATCCTTTAGCTATGTTTGATATAAACAAATATTGAAACATGACTAGGTAAAAGCACTGCTATTTGTGCTTCTGAAGTAAAATAGCATTTGTTGCATCTGCTCAGTGGAGTAGTGGACGAAATACATTTAAATTTGTATAGGCGCTATTTACCTAGTCATGTTTCAATATTTGTTTATATCAAACATAGCTAAAGGATTAAATGACCAATTTTCAATTAAGCGATAGAATGAATCAGTGATTAGCATGAAAATAAGTGGGAAAGATGAAAAATTTGGTCACCTTTTTTTGTGTTCAAATAAAGTTTCAAGGACAAATAACAGTCGCTGTCGGACGAAAGAACAGAACTGTCGCATTAAAGAAAATATCGGAGACGGCTGTTACTGCTGTTCCCGATATTTTCTGTTAATTGAATATTGCTATTTGCCGAATCATGTGTGCACACGTCCCACTCCCATACATACAAAACCTTACCACTTCACGAGAATAAAATATCTCCTTTTCCTAAAACTCAGGCCAATTGGCAACGCCACGGGGAATCAAAAGGCATAAAGGCAGGTATTTGCCTTTTTGCTTTGTTGAAATATCGAAATCCCAGATGTTGACTGGTACTGAGCAGCATCGTAGGCGAGCCCTGTTATTTCAAATAACATGTTATTTTAAATATCGGTCACAGGTACCGACTGTTCCATATCTGTGTTGCTGAAATTTCCGCTAGCGTCGGAACTTTTGCTCTTTTGTGAGTGCCTTTAAAGGCTTATTTGAGATTGAATTTGTCGAAATTGACTAGGTAATTTTCTGTAACTGTTCCATATCGATATCTGTTCCAAAATATATGTGAAGTATTTCGTGTCATCCCTACTTTGGACCCGTTTCCCTCACAGCCCTTGACATTGCTGCGCTTCACAGCTACTCATAGTGTATCTATTCTCGACATAAACACACATAAGTCAACTACCTTATTTAACAATACAATTTTTTTCGTGTGTTTGCTCTCTAAAAATAAAAACAACACCGTTTTTATCCCTACAAGGCACGTGTAACACCTGCATCGACCCGTTCTTGGCACAAATCGAAATTGTGGACAGACAAAAGCTCTCAATCGATTTCATGTGGCTTAACAAACATTGCATTTCTCTATCGAAGCTAGTCTAAATTTCACCGCCTGTTTTTTTTTAACATTTTTTCATCCATCCATATGGAGGATATAGAACAATTAGGTAAATTCAAAGCGAACAGATCTCTTGTTGATCTGAAACTAATTAAGTAAGTGCCAGTTTCTGGTGCTAGGTTAGTTGAGAAATGTGTTACAACTACTTTCACTGAATTTACAAGTATTTTATAAGAGCCTGGTTCGAACATTGCTGATGTCTTCTGCCAAATATTTTCGGATTGGTTGCCTGGACTTAGTACTAGAGAAAGTTGTGTGTTTAATATCAGTCACAGATCACTTAATTTTCAATTTTATTTACGCCTATAAAACTTTCAAACACCAGATACATAAGCAATTATCTCGGCTTGCTCATCACTCGCAAATTTAACGTGGATGAATGAAGGTGAATCATGTGATAGTTTAGGTAATATCTTGACTTGTCGAACGATTCATCTCAGTTTTCGGATAGAAGATTAGCAAATCAGCTAACTCACATCTCTTATATTCAACCTTCAAACTCGGTTAAAAGACCCTTGAAATGTTAAAAATCTATTAATGAAATGTCATAGTCGGTTATCAAGACAATAATTATGGAAAAAGGAAGGTTTTGCGGTAGTTCTCTTATTAAAACATCAATGACTAAATCAAAAACAGGAAGTTAGGTCAAATTTGCACGAATAATTGGTAAATGAATATTCTAATTGATTGATACATTTAGTAATGGTCTACGTTGGTTGTGATGATTTCGGTTTTTTAGTTAAGCCTTTTTATTCCCACTGATATGCCAAACCGCATTATCTGCCACAAGTCCTATAAGAGTAAACATTTAAATTCCGTAATGACTTGATAATTACTTCTAGGTAAATCACTGTAAACAAATAAAGTAAAATTTTCCGAAGCAGTTAAAGTGTCGTTTTCGTAAAAATATTTTTGCTTATTTCTAGCATTATATCGCCCGCCCAGTGTAATGTAAATTAGGCACATTAGTCTTTTTTAATAATTTGCACGATCTTGGTTCTTGCTTGAAGTTAAATAAATCATCACCATTGCAGCACTTGTATACACAAAATTAAATTAATGGAGTTTTAAGTCTTGGGAGCGTTATGATTAATTTAGCTCCATCGCGAGTGTGATAAACACGGTTTTAGTTCATAGAAAATTGTTCCCAAGCAAGATAAAGGAATTAAATAAAATAACCTCGATATTAGGAGTTCCCGATATCAGGGGTGACGACACTTTGAACGTTGGAATCGACTTTTTGAAGTGTTCTGATTTGGTTTTTTTACGACATTGTGCCATCTCCGATTATGCTAATCATCACATAAAGTTATTCAATTTTATTCAGTGTCTATATTATCCTATCCTGTTTTACCTACTGGTTGTTTTTGGGAATGGTTTAGCACTCGCGTTCTTATCTACATAAAGTCGTATGTTCCAGTTGTAGCCTAAACACTGATTGGTTTTATCAATAACCATTATTTATTGCGAAGGAAAATTTTCTGTGGTTGTTGGAGGCTGCAATTTTAAACTGAATTTCAATGTCAATTTCAGCAGTGTATTATTCATTTCTTCAAACTATCCATACCATTAAATGGCAACTACCTATCATGCTTTTGCATTTATTTATTTCAAGTGGGTGTATACTTTTTGTCATTTTTTAGAATTCCTATGCATTTGCCGGTTTGATGTGATGTGAACTGCCTAGTTCGTTTTAACTGGGTCCTGGAAACTTCCTCTTGATTTTACTTTCATTTTGCGTCACGCAAGTTGGGAAACAACATATAACTTGTTATTATATTTGCGTTAATTTCAAACCGTATTTTTATATAATGTGTCGTTTTTACTGCGATTCATTGGATTCCCAGTAGTCCGAAAACCGAAACTTGCATACTTTTCTTCTGTGGTTCTTTGGTAGACGTAAAATGCTATGGAGGCCACCAAAAGGAAATCGTTCTACCTCGAGGCATATGATTGTAGTAGGCTGACAATTATTATTCATATCATACACAGTGACCAGAAAAAGAATTGTTGGGCAACTTGACATTGCCGTTAAGAATTCAGGGGTTACAGTACTGCGTAATATTTAACCTTTGTAAAAAGTCAATAGAAGATTTGAATGTAGTCGGTTTCATTATCAACAGCTTAATCGGACTTGCAATTCCGATTTGGTCTTGTGAAACCCTAATTCTTCGGAATTATGTTTCATAGTCGTAAATGTTCCTGGTAACGGCTAATATAACAAGTGAAAAACTCGGAGGGATTGAAAAAATAGAATCAAGGCTATTGGGTGCTCCAATGTTGGCTAAAGTAAAAATGATACAAGGTGAAGAAAATTA